GTGACAGATAAGGAGGGTAAAGACTGGTCTTTAACTTGCACTATGTTGCTAGGTAGCAGGTTTGGAGGTCTGATGTGCTAAATGCATTTTCCTCCATAAATTTAAGCTACATTTAACAAGGCAAGTTTAACAACACTACAGATCTAGCTTAGGTGACAGAACAAGCATAGATTTAATATGAAGTTTGGATCAGTGAGTCTATACTGGTACGTTCCCTAGCACAGTCCACTGAGAGTGCCCAGAACAGTGACACCCCACTACCACAAAGCATACCCTGTACTCAAATCTTGGTTTCTAAATACATGTATGCAATAAAATGAGCCAGGGCCTTTGGGGAAATGGCTGCCTTCAGAGCTGGGGTGGGGAAGTAGAGCCAGGCGCACCTTGTTGCCCTGAAAACAAATGTATACACAAAGAATGACAACTGTCAAGAGGACCCAGGACCCAGGCAGTGGCTTAGAACCTCTCATAAAAATAAGAAACTGATTCCGTGCTGACACGAACGAGTAAGTCGACAATTTAACAAGAAATGGGATGTTTACATGGACCCAAAGACCTCCCTGCACAGCTACTGATTGCAAAGGATGAGGAATAATTTCACAGGAGAGAAGCCGGACAGACAGCACCTCAGTCACATGACCCAAATGGGACACCGGTGAGAAGAGCCCACAGTCAAGCTGCCCAATGCAGCCCGAGTAGGATCCTGAGCAAAGTCTGTAAACCCGAATCGAGGGACAGTCTACCAAATAACCAGCCTGCCACCTCAAGCACAAAACCAGGGAAGGCCAAAGAACGGCTCTACATTGAAGAAAAATAAAGAAACATGACAACCAATTGAGACACACACTGCATAAACATGTTCCCTTCACATCAGCAGCCATGATTGGGACAGCCAGTAAAATCTGAGCGGGAGTCAGTGAACCTTTGGATCTTGCCAGCTGCATTGAAAGACGCACACTGAGGCACTGGTGGGTTGGGGTGTGTGTGACAGGGGCATGGTGCAGCCATCTTACCCTATTTCAGGTGGCTCAGGTGAAAACAGCAATGTGTACTGACCTGCCACTTTAAAGCTCAGGTTATTTCAGAGCAAATTATAGAATGTCAGAGGTCTTGGTCTTGGTCTAAACTAAGGCCCAAAGCTGGGAAAACAGACACCCAGATGCCCAAATCCTAAGGCCGGGGCTCCAGGGGTGGCTTGCCAGGAGAAGCCGCTCTAGCTCTGGGCCACTTACCCAGGCATTTGCCTCCAGATGGTAGGGGACACAGCCAAGGGTAGTTTTGTGAGTAAGGATTTCTCTGGGGAGATCCGGCCTGAGGTGTCTCTTCCTTCACCTCCTCCAAGGATGGGAATGTTTCTCAGCAAGAGGAATTCTTTGTTTTGTTTTATTTTTTAACTTTTTCTCTTCTTGTTTCTTCTTTTTTTTTTTCTTTTGGCTTTTTGATACAGGTCTTGCTATGTAGCCCAGGCTGGCCTCAAACTCAAGGTCCTCCTGCTTCTACCCTGAGTGTGAGGACTGCTGGCATGTGTTATCAGACCCACTTTAAGCAGGAGAGGTTTTGAAGGCACGTGGCCAGGCTCCTCTGTGCTTAGGGGCAGGTACCAAATGACATCACCAGAGGCCAAGTGGAACTGGTGAAGCCTGAGCTGCAGAGGGAAAAGAAGTTTCTACCCTGGGGTGAGGGTGGACATTAGCCCAGCAGAGATTGCCCAGGGGGTGGTAAATGTGTCCCGCGAAACAAGGTGGAGGCCACAGAACACCAGATGTCTTGAAAGAACCCCCCCTATACATGGCAGCATGGGTAGTGACTTCAGGAGACAGCACATGATGTCCCAAGAGGTCGTAAGGGGAGTGACAGCTTCTTGCTCTGGCCCAGGCTCCCTCAGTCTTCATCTTGCTGAGACTCTCCAGGCAGGATCTATGGGGTCTCCAAGCAGCTCCCCACTGCCTCTTCTGCTCCTGGCTGCTGCTTGCACGAAGGTGTCTGGAAAAGTTACTAATCACCGCAACATTTCTGTGTGACAAACCATCCTAGAATCCCGGGATGAGAGACAGAGCATTGATTCTGTTTCCAGATCTGTAGATCACTTGGGCAATTCCTCCTCAGGACACAGGTTGGCTGGGCATGGCTGCAGGGTTTTGCTGGTTCAAGGCTGCCCAGCCGAGGGGCCGTTATTCCCAGGACATGAGGTCCTCAGGCCTTCCTATAATGCAAGAGGCTATGCAAAATTGTACAATGCTTTGACCACAGCTCATACCATTATTGCCTCTTCTGTCCAAAAGAAATCTCAGTGCATATTAGTCTTCCATTCCTTCATAACAAATCACCACCAACTCCGTGGCTTATAACTCTGTCCATATGCTCATGAAGTCTATAGAAGCTATAGTTCTCTGCCCAGGTTAGAGTCAGGTGTCTGCTGGCTGTGTCTAATTCGGAACTGGGGCTCCTCATCTAAGTTCATTCCTGCTACTTTGGCAGCAGAAACATCCATGCTCATGCAAGACTGAGGTCTCTATGACCCTGCTGGCTGTCATCCAGGGGTGCTCTCAACTTCTAGAAGATGTCCTCATTCTTCACTCCATGGTCTCTTGGTCTTTAAGTTAATTACAGTGCAAAAAATCCTCTGTGTGCTTTAAATCTTTCTGACTTCTTTTTTGTCACTAATCAGAGCAAAGGCTTCCATCTTAGAGCGCTCACCTGATGGCTCAAGCCAAGGACCTCTGTATTTTAAGGTTGCCTGACAAGTGATTTCAATTGTATGTGCAAAATCCCTCTACAGATTAAGGTTTCATTGGATAAATAGGAGTCAGCAATCATGGGGAGGCATCTATGGATAGGAAAACATACTACACTCCCAAGGGAAAGGGAAGTGAGCGGATGTGACAATTACCGAATCCATCCTAAGGCCCCTGGGACACCGGAAGATCCAACCAACAGCCTGCCCAGTACCCAAGGGAAGCAGCGGACTCCAGGCTTCTGTCAGAGAATCTGTCCTGGTGTTGGACCTCTATCCCCGTCACCAGAGACTCTACTGAGCCCTTTCCTGGGCTTCCGGCTTTCCTCACCGTGGACCACCATCCAGCCTTCACTTCAGCGCACACCAAGTCTTCTGCCGTTGTTTGAATGTGAAATATCCGCTAGAGGCTCAAGTGTTTGCGTACTTGTTCTCCATTAGGTGGTGCTGTTTGGACTGGTGTGGAACCCTTAAGAGGTGGAGTCTTGCTAAAGGAAGTGGGTCCTGGGGGTGGGCCCTGAGGCTTTAGAGCAAGTCCTCACTTCCTGCTCAGTCTGCTTCCTGGGTGTGGATGCATTGTACATGGCAGCCTCTGCTCCTGCTTCCGGTGCCTCTGTCTTGGGGTTCTATTGCTGAGATTAAAAGCATGACCAAAAGCAGCCTGGGAAGGAAAGGGTTTATTTCAGCTTACATGTCCTGATCACAGTCCGCCATGAAGGGAAATCAAGGCAGGAACTGAAGCAGAGACCGTGGTGGAGTACTGCTTAGTGGCTTGCTCATTTTGCTTTCTTTTTTTTTTTTTTTTTTTTTTTTTTTTTTTTTTTTTTTTTTTTTTTTTTTTTTTTTTTTTTTTTTTTTTTTTTTTAAACCGAAATTTATTATAAGCCACAGTTGTCCGAGATTTATTTATTCATTATGTATACAGTATTCTGTTTACACACCAGAAGAGGGCGCCAGATCTCATTACAGATTGTTGTGAGCCACCATGTGGTTGCTGGGAATTGAACTCAGGACCTCGGGAAGAGCAGTCAGTGCTCTTAACCTCTGAGCCATCTCTCCAGCCCCTCATTTTGCTTTCTTATACACCCCCAGGACCACCAACCCAGGAGCCGCCCCGCCCACAATGGGCTGGCCCCTCCCACATCAGTCCCTCCCACATCAATCCCTAATTAAGAAAATGACCCGCAGCCTTGTTGACAGGCCAATCTTACGAGGGCATTTTCTCAATCGATGTTCTCTCTTCTCCAATGACTCATGTGTCAGACAGTGACATCAAACTGGCCAGCACACCTCCCCTGCCCACTGCCATGTCCTTCCCACCACGGTGGACTGTATCTCCCTAGAACGGCAAGCCCAGAGAAACCCCTTTTCCTTAAGTTGCTCTTATCGGGACACTTTATCATAGCTTTTGGAAGAGAGCCTAAGACACACCCCTCCCAGGCAGCTGCCAATCATCCCAGGCCAGACTAGACTCTTCTGCCCTCAGATGTCCCAGGTCACTCTACCCAACTTGGTGCTAGAGTAGAGGGGCTCTTCCTCCACGGCCCTCCTTCCGGCATCTACCCTTCGCTCTGCCCTCCGTGCCCTTATCTCCAATGCTTTCAAAGCACAGGGCACCTTCTAGGCTCTAGGCCTATCACTCCTGGGCTGTAGCTTTGGTGATCTTTTCTTTGTGTCTCCAGACCTTCCCTAGTTGTCAGGACCTAGTTAGCCTGCCTTGGTCCCTCAGCCAGCCCTGCTCCACAGGCCCCCGGGTCCTCTCGGACCTCCGTTGAGGTATTGCCCCATGCTGATGTCCACATACAACATGTCTACCTGCCACAGTTCTGTTTAGGTCACCACGCTGCACCTATATACTCTGGGATGTCGCCAACAATGGCTCAGGGAGTGACAATAACATCGTTTCAGAACAGTCTCTGTCTCCCACAGCCCTGGAGCTCCTCAGTGTGAGTGGAGCAGGTTGCTGGCTTCTCCGGGTCCTCCCCTGTAGATCCTCAGGCAGGAGAGGCACAAGCTGGGAAGTCAGCAGGGCAGCCGAGGGGCTTCTAGAACAAGGTCACTTCTCAGCAACTGAAACCAGCCAAGCTCCCTCCATCAAGTTTTTAACTAGAAAAATAGTGTGCCCATTTCTCTGTAATACACCTCTGGGCTTTTTTATTATGACTTCATTTCCCCTTGTAATATTGGAACGCCTCTATAATTGTAAAAGTGTAATAGAATCTAATAGAATTTCATTTGGCGCCCGGACTGCTCCGTGCCATGGCCGCTCATTCGGAGTGAAATAATGACGTCTAATGCCCACACACGGCTCCCCGTGACCTTATTCAATCTTGGGGCTGATCGGGAAATATATTGATTCAATTATACACTGATGACAAATGAACTCAAAGAAAGAGGAAAAAAAGGTCAGCATATATTTGAAAATGTAAATCTTAGCAATGTCTTTGGGGTTCGCCCAAAAAGAAAAAAAAAAGCCATTTCAAAATGCCATTTGTGGCTAATAGCGTGGAGTTCCAGACTCCATCAGGGAGACGCAGGGTGGCTGGGAAGGCCTTAATAGGGTGTCACTTCTCTAGAGCTGGGATCAGGCCGAAATCCTCTCTGAGATGCTCTTGCCTCGCATGACTTCTAGCCTAAAGTGCTTCCTCCTGCCTGGTGGTTTGAACTTCCTCCTCTCTCTTCCCTCCCTCCTCCTTTCTTCTTCTTGCCCCTCTCCCTTCCCACCTTCTTTCTTCCCCTACCTTTCCTTCATTCGTCCCACCCCCCTCTCTCTCTCCCCACCTCTACCTTGCCTCCTTCACCCGCACCCACCCTGCCCTTCCCTCCCTTCCTTCAGACCACTGACCACCTGTGGACAGCCATCAGAAGGGCTGTATCCCTAGAGCAAGGGCGTCCTCAGAGAAGGCAAGTGCAGCAGGGGACCCGTGAGGGAGCGAGGGTGAAGAAGCAGGTGCAGAGTCACAGGATCAGAGAAAAGTCTAGAAGAAAGAGAATGCCAACTATATCTGATGTCTAACAGAAGGAGCCATACAAACCCCCAAAACTCTCAGAATTTTCTCACTTTAAAAAAATACTGGGGGCTGGAGCGGTGTCTCAGAAGAGCACTGGCTGCTCTCCCTGAGGACCTGGGTTTGATTCCCAGCACCCACACGGCAGCTCACGAATGTCTGTAATTCCAGCCCCAGATGATCTGACACCCTTTGCTGGCTTGTGTGGGCACTACCCGGGTAAGTGGTACACATGTGCAGGTAAAACACCCATGCATAGAAAATAAAAAAGAGCTAGTTCTGTAGCTCAGTGGTAGAGCCCTCACCTACCACACGTGAGACCCTGGATTCCATTCTTAGCGTTACACACACACACACACACACACACACACACACACACACACACACACACACGAGTTTTACCCAGGAATCATACCTAAAGATATAGATCTTATATACGGTGAAATACAGAAAACTCAAGTGCATGCCATAGTAATGTATTATTATAAAGCTGGAAATCATCACTTGAATCAAGGTCTAGACTATACCAACATTTCAGCATCCTGCCTCTTGACCCCTCTCATTAATCCCCACCTCCCTCAAGCAGCCATATTGTGGCTTACATGCCACAGATTGGAACTGCCTGCCTTTGAATTTGTAAGTGTGTACATTTGGGCACCTCGATTTTTTTTCTCTCCAAACTGCTTCGTCTGTCTGTGACACTGTGTGCCAGCCATCCTGGCTGGGCATGCTGTGGGTAGGGACTGTGAAATGACTACAAAGGTTGATGCCACACTGAGCATGTCAGTGGGGGGATTCTTTTTGCAATCTTTAAAAGCTTTTGTCAAAACGGGAAAATATGTATAGTTGGTTGGAAATGTACGATGGCATTTTGAAACTGCACAACTGATATATTTAGTGCATTGCGACTTAAGGCATTAGAAGCATTAAGAATTAAAGCGCTTTAGTTTTTCACAGAAGACTTACCAAGAAGAGTGTGAATAGCAAGTGTGTAGCTCTCAGTGTGGGCAAGTCTTGCACGCCTTGGCAAACCATCATAGTGATTTTGAAATTTGAATGTTTCTAGCATTGGGGGGGGCACATGCTCGTGAGTGTGTGCATGTGTGTTCCTGGGTGTGCAGGTGTACATGTATGTGTGGAGGCCAGAGGTCAACCTCAAATGTCATTCCTCAGGAGCCTGTTTTTTTCTTTTTAATAACTTTTAAACATTTATATAAATAAATTTATTAATTGTGTGTGAGTGTGCATGAACATGAATAAAACTAACATAACACATTCATGTAAATCAGAGAAGAGCTTGCAGGAGTCAGTTCTCTTTCTAAAAAATATTTATTTAATATGCATGTGTGAGTTCTTGCATGTATCTATGTGCACCATGTGTTTGCCTAATGCCCATGGAGGCCAGAATGGAGCACTGGATTTCCTAAAACAAGTTACATGTATTTGGGAGTCATGTGACCGGAGTCCCGGGAATCCAGGTCCTCTGAAAGAACAGCAAGTGCTCTTCACCACTAGGTCATCTCTCCAGCCCAGTGTTGGTTCTTCCACAATGAGGACCCCAGGGGTCAAACTCAGGTCATCAGGCTTGGTGGCAAGTGCCATCTTGTTGGCCTTGGTGTTTTATTTTTTGGGTTTTTTATTGTTGTTGTTTGGTTTTGGAGGTCTTTTTTGTTTGTTTGTTTTTTTCCAGACATAGTCTGTCACTGGGCCCTGAGACTCACTGATTAGACTGCCACTGAGCACCAGGGGTCTCGTGTCTCTGCCTCTCCAGCTCCGGGATTATAAGGTGCCATCACACCCACATGTCTGTAACTCCAGTTTCAGGGTGTCCAATAACTAACTTCTTCTGAACCCTGCAGGCACAAAGCACACATACAACAACATACTCAAACACATAAAAATAAATAAACATAGACAGATGCGAGCTGCCATGTGGGAGCTGGGAACTGAACTTGGGACCTTTACCAGAGCAGTGGGTACTCTTAACCACTGGGCCACTGCTCTAGCCCAACATCCAGTGTCGTTTTGTGATTGTTTTTACATGGTTTCTGGACAAACTCAGGTTCTCATGCTTTCAAGGCAAGCTCCGTCCTGAGCTATCTCCTCGGCCCTCCCCACACCCACCCTCATTTCCAACATTCTGCCCTCTGTGTTTTCCATGTTCGGAAGTATTTCTGAAAGTCCAGGGCTACCTTCCCTGAGACGTCTTCATCTGTCCTGTCACAACCACACTCCTTGTGGACGTTGGAAGTTTCTTTGAACACCTCCAGCCAAACGGTGACAGCATCAGCCTCCTGCCGTTTCTCCCATAGTTCCGCTACCTTCGACTCTCTTGTCGCTTCCAGCATTATTGCCCTTCATTCCTTCGCCAGACTTTAATCACTGTTAAACCCTTCTTCCCCCCTACCCACTTTTGTAAAATATCACATGACTTTCTGACTTGGAAATGAGGAGACAACACAGCCTCACCCTTTGGTGTCTGTGCATGAAGTGAACAGTGGATGATACCCAGTGTCCAACCACGGACTTTAAGAGATGCGACATGATGGGTCACAGCTCATGATCAGCACCTGCTATTTTTTGTGACAACCTGTGAACTGAAGAACTAGCATGAAATTTGTGTTCATGGTCAATAATGCTCCATGCTGCTAGCTCAGTGACCAGAGTGTTTGCCTAGCATGCACAAAGCCCTGAGTTCAATTCCTAGCAGTGCATAAAACAGGCATGGGGATGAGTTTTTGTAACCTCAGCATTCAAGAGGTTGAGGCGGGAAGACAACAATACCACAACTTCCTCATCCCTTCTTGTGGTACACTGACATCATTTCCAGTTTGATTCTGCCATGAATGACACTGCCTTGAACTTCTCAACACACACACTCATTTCTGTTGGCTGAAGATTTCTCTACTTGAGTTCCCCAGTTATTTCGTGTGACCCTAAGTAAGTTGCTACCCTCAAAAAGTTGGGGGCACCAGAGCCACCTGTGTCAAAGGAGATATGATTGTGTTGAGATGGGAGGGAGAGCCTCCATGTTCTTTCTCTAGACCCATTTCACCGACAGGAAGACAGACTGTAGATGCAGAGGGAGTTGCACCTGGTCACACAGAGTCAGCCCCTCAGCTACTCTCCCCCGCTTGAGGCCTCCAGCTGTGAGATGGGACCTTGCCTTGTTCTTGAATCATGAGGCTAGGGCTCTCATTTTTCTCCAAGAGAGATACACTCCCCAACTCATGAGTGGGCAGAGGCCAAATCAGATGTGGAGAGAGAAGGCAGGGAACTTCCCTCCCTGTGATACTATGGAAGTTTTCAGGCCAGCCCTTAGCCTAGGCCGGCCGCCCTATTTAATTCTCATAATTAGCTGACAGCTCATTACCAGCTCATTAGAAGCCCCGGGACTGTGGTGACAGTAACAAATTCAGTGCATCCAGGCAGTCTGGGGGTGTCCCCAGAGGTATGGCCCAGGCTGGGCTTCAGGGGGCAGCTGGGGGTGGCAGCTGGGTGCCACTGGCTGGGTCCTCAGAGTTCAAATCCTATCTTGTGAGCAACATGAAAGGCCCTCCCCGGCTCACCCACATTGCTATTCTAGCCTCAGGGTTCTCAGCTCTCTTCCTGGAGAGACCAGACAGAATGAGGGATCCTGGCTCCGAGAGAGGCAGGGGGAACCCCAAAGCCTTGAGAGGGCCAGAGAACAACCCAGACTCCCAAATGTGGACACCAACAAAGCCCATGTGGTCCCTGTGCCCCTCTGTCACTCCCCAGCTTCTGGGCATTTGACCTGCCTTCTCTGGGTTCTTCCCCTCCATCTGTGTGTCTGTCTCAGTCTATCTGCACTAATTCACCATCTACTAGGCACCTACCATTTGTTTGTCCTGGCCTAAGTCTGAAGCAGCTATAACGGTCAATTAGACAAAGTCTGTCCCTAAGGAGCTGTGACACAGTGGGGAAGGAGACCATTAGTTTCCACAAGACAGGGCTGGAGAGGAGTTAACACTTCAGGCATGGGGGGGGGGGTGTCCTGGAGGCTGCACTTGGAAGGGGCAGGAGCTCACTGTCTATCATCCTAATGACACCTTTGCCTCCATCCTTCTCCCTGCAGGCCAGGCCCTCCACCTTGTGGTCTCAGCCTGTTGAAGGCAGAAGACAGAGACTGGGAACAGAGCCAGAGGGTTGGTTAGGGCCTGGAAGGCAAGGAGCAATTGAGCGATTTTGTCCTCAGAAGGTAAAGGAGGTGGACTGGAGACCAGAATGGAAGGGTGGGGCGGGGAGGAGAGAAGGGGAAGAAGGAGGAGAAAAGCAGAAGGAGGAGAAAGGGGTCAAATGGGAGGTGCTGTGTCCTGCCTAGCCAGTGGGCCCCAGTCTCTGGCAGCCCAGTGACCAGGGTAAGTTGCTCACTGCCTTGGCTTTACATTTACATCTCCCCCCACCAGGCTCTGACTGCAGAGAGGGCCCACCCTGGTGTGTGCCGAGGAACCAAAGGTCAGGACGCAGCCAGGGAGGCCTGGACGCAGATCTGGAGCTCCCAGCCCTGGCCATACATCTGCCACAGGGATCGATGGAAGTCATTATCATTGCCACATGTTAATGATACCAATTAATTCCCCATCTGTGGGCCCAATGCAGCCTTCAGCACTGAAGGTTAAAGAGAGGGGACTTTCTCAGGGTGAGTCTCCCCAGGGTGCCAGTTCTGGGCCTGTGTGTGAGGCTGGCAAGAGTTGGAGCCTTGCTTTAGGGGCTATATGGTACGTGTACTGGCCATGTACTATCCTGCCTTGTCTATTAATGAACATGTCACCTGTGCACACATGCGTATTCTAAGTATGCCTGCATTGTGCATATACAGTATGTGTCCAAAGTATAAATTCTGTATATCTGTGTAAAACAAAGTGCTGTATGTCTAGTCTGTGTGCCTCATCTGTGTCCATAGCATGTGCATATATCATGCCTCTAATATTTATTTGTTCACAGTGAAGGGCTTATGTTTGTGTGTGGAGCACGTGTACAAAAGCTGTCTATCGAGTCCTGTGTCTGCAAAAGCTGACAGTCAAGGCTCTATCTTCCTGTAAGTGACTGGTGCCTGGATGTCCACCTTGTTCACATGCATTGTTGCACAGGTGTGTACAAGCCCACGTCCATGGGTTTCCCTGTACTATGGGACTCCTCCCTGCCATGGAGCCTTGGACTCTAAAAAGAGATCTCTGTGTGCTGTGCCATGGACTTGGTGCTGCCCAGTCTTCAGATGGGTCTTGGAGGGGGAACATGAGTTTACCAAGTAAATGGAGTCGAACAGGAGGAAAGGAAGCTCAGGCTAGAGATACTGCTCGAGCATCAACTAGTAACGGCAGGCGCTTCTGTGTGCCGGGTGAGGCCTTAAGTGTAGCTTCGCTGCTATGAAGCGGGTCCGATTGGTATTCCCAATTTACAGATGAGGAAAATCTGTTACAGAGATGTAAGTGGCTTTCCCAACAACACACAGCCTGAAAAGGGTACTGGCATCCACACATGCTCATAGGCACACCCTCGCAAACACACAATGGTGTGCATAACAGTATGGAGACAGTGAACATACTTCACTCAGACACAGGATGCACACACACACACACACACACACACACACACACACACACACACACACACACTCTGGCTGTCTCTGGTGTCCCCATCTGTTCAGAGCACCCTAGAACAGAACCCAAGCTCAGCCCTAGTTTCTTTGGGGTAGTGGGAAGGAAAAAGTAAACATGTACAGAGACAGAGGGAGCATCTAGGGGAGCCAGCTCCATCTTGCAGTCCTTCCCTGGAACCAAGAAGCAAAGGGCACACCCACCTACCCATCACACCCAATAAGTGGCCATACTTGGGTGCCCTCAGTTCAGCCTCCATTTCTCCATCTACTGTGGGAGAGAAATATTGTCCACCTTCCCTTGGACAAGTTTGCGGAGGGTACTCTCTGGGAAATGGGAGGTCCCAGGCTCTCACTAGGCCTCACATGTGTGTAGCATCCTGGAGGGCTGGTAGCCACCAATAGTCACAGAAAGGAAGCCTAAATTTAGCTACTGTCTGTTCCTGGACAGGGAGGCTCCCTGAGGGCCAGGCTGTCCCTAGCCTATGCCATCAAGGTCACACTGTACCCTGGTGCCCCCAGAAAGCTCAGGATGGGCAGCCTGCCAGGCCTGCCAGCGCCAGAACGCCTGGCCCGCCGCCTCCCCTGGGCTCTAGCTCTTCTTAATTAACAGAACGCCATTGTGAATACTAAAGAAGAAATTAGCACATGCCAGTCATTTCCGGGTGTTTATAGATTTCTCAATCCATCTTTAATTAACCCCTCTGCTCCTGAAGCCTGGCCCTGCCCTCCAGGAGCTGCAGGCTAACTCATCCTGTTTTCCTGCTTGCAAGTGGCTTCCCATCCATCTTAGGACCAGATGAAATTTCCTGGCCCCCAAAAAAGGGCCCACCTGTCCTAAGATATGGATGATGATGAGAAAGATGCTCACCCTTTGACCTTCAAGGTCATATCCAGGAACTGATGGAGAAGAGCTATTCACCCTGGGAGCAACAAGATCCAAGCTTGAGTAGACTATCACAGCAAAGTCATGGCCACATATGTCAGTGAGGCCTCCGGAACAGTGGGCAAGAAACCTGCTTGTGTTGAAACAGAACAGCCTGTGTGCAGTTTGGGTGAAACTATAGGTACTAATATATAACATGACACAACACAAAATCATATTCACTGAGAAGGAAAACAGCACAGGAGATGGGTGTTTTGAAGTCATCCAGATATTAACAGTGCCTTGCAGTAGTGAGTTTTTCTTTTTATATATATATATTTTATTTTATTTTATTTTACAATACCATTCAGTTCTACATATCAGCCACGGGTTCCCCTATTCTCCCCCCTCCCACACCCTCCCCTTACCCCCAGCCTAACCCCCATTCCCACCTCCTCCAGGGCAAATCCTCCCCCCAAGGACTGCAATCAACCTGGTAGACTCAGTCCAGGCAGGTCCAGTCCCTTGTGAGTTTTTCTCTGTGTGTATACTTAGCAAGATGTGTGAGCTAGCTCGGGGGAAGAGTGCAGGACTCTGAAGACCTAAGGTGACCTGGGAGTTTCCAAGCGTTCAGGTGCTGTGCATAGTAGGCACTTCTGGTGGCTGCTGAGATCACTATCCCTTCTCTGAGGACCCAAATCCCAGGGAGTGTTGGAGCCTAGTGACCTGGCTGGGTTCTTTCCACACATCCTGAGCCTTCTTGGGCATGGAGAGGACCACTGAGCTCTGTGTCACATGATCCCCCACCTCATAGAAGATGTATCTGGCTTGTTCTTACTATAAGACAGGGACCCATGGTTCAGGAGACCTCTGTAGGCTTAAGCTCAGAAGTGGAGCATGTCTCAGCCATAGCCCACCAGGGACTATAGAAGGTCACAAGCCTGGCCCAGATGCAGGACCACAGATGGGCCCCAGTACTTGAGAGGAGTGGCTAAGTCCCACCTAGACAGAGACCCACACACCTTTCTGATGTTACATGGGCCTCTCTACCTTCTGGGAGGTTCTGGGTTAAAGATTGCCTGAAAGTGAGGAAGATGAGGGAAGGGTGGCAGTGTGAAGGCCATGATGATGAAGACATAGGAAGAATATGATGAGAGAAAGGGGGGGCAGAGTAGGTAGTGGCCTCCACACACGGAGTACGTGGCCCTGCCATCCTCAGCAGGTGACTGGTTCTGCTCCACTGGGATAGACTCAGTCACAAGCAGACCTGCTGTGGATATCACTCTATATAAATAAAACACTGATGGCCAGTGACCAGACAGGAAGTATAGGCGGGACAAGGAGAGAGGAAAATTGGGGAAACAGGAAGAAGGAGGGAGAGACACTGCAGCCACCTCTAGGACAAGCAGCATGTAAAGATGCCGGTAAGCCACCAGCCATGTGGCAAGGTATAGATTTATAGAAATGGGTTAATTTAAGATAAAAGAACAGTTAGCAAGAAGCCTGCCACGGCCATACAGTTTATAAATAAGCGTCTGAGTGATTATTTTATAAGTGGATTGTGGGACTGCGGGGCTTGGGGAACCTGGAGAGAAGCCCTCCAGGAACACAGACCCCCTCACAGGAACCATCCTGGTATCTGAGACCCAAGCTGAGGGCTAAAGAACCTAGAGAGTCCCAAAGAATATGACCTTCCAGGAGTGGTTCCTGAAGAGGAGACTGTGGCTGCACACTGTGGCCTGAACACCCCACCCTTATCACTTAGTCATCCCCTACCCCTTGACTGCACCCCCTCATCTCCCTCCACAGCCTCCCAGCCTGTTGAGCCTAGGGACCCATATATGGTATCTTGCAAGAAGTATGTATGGGTTTTTTTTTTGTTTATTATTTTTATTTTTAATTGTTCTGGTTTTTTATTGTGCAGACATTGGGTTATATAAGGACATTTTCATATAAGTATACAATGCACTTTAAGCATATCCCCCATGTCTGTCCCCACCCTCTCCTCCAAACCCCCCTCCTCCTGTTAGTCCCCTCTGTTCCCCTACACAGTTTCCTTTCTCTGTCATGCCATATGCACATGCATGGCTTTACATATCTATATAAAATCTAGGATCCACAAATGAGAGAAAACATGCAATATTTGTCTTTCTGAGTCTGGCTTAATTAGCTTAATACGATGGTGTCCGGTTGCATTCATTTTTCCTGCAAAGGATAAAGCTTCATTCTTCCTTATGGCTGAAAATTTCTATTGTGCATATACGCCACACTGTCTTTGCCCATCCTCTGTTGATGGACGTCTAGGTTGATTCCATAATTCAACAATTGTGAATAGAGCTGCAATAAACACTGATGTGCCAGTAGCTCTGTGATGCAATGGCTTGGAGTTCTTTGCATAAATACCCAAGAGTGGTACAGTGGGGTCATAGGGTGATCTAGTTTTAAATTTCTGTAGTTCTCTAGAAAGAGTTTTGACAAATAACATCACCATCATATAAAGCAGACTAGACACCCTGTGTTTCCAGAACTTATGGAGGACTATGATGCCAACCCTTCCTAAGACATCTGGTAGCACGAGGGTATTGTGGGGCTCCCCATAAATGCCCACTTGTGGGGTTTGAAGGGTTGCTGTCCTGAGTGACAATTAGCTGCTATACTATTCTGCCTTTTAATTAAAGACTACTATTAATTTAGCTCCATTGTTAAGCATTTACTTGTTTGTCGGTTGACCCCAAAACACACAGTAATGCTTACATGCAACAACAGGGTTTCCAGGGCTTACTTTTGCAATCATGAGCATTGAAGGCAGATCTTTACATCCCAAGGTAGCTCTGAGCATACATTCCTCCCCACTCCTTCCCTGACTGCTGATACAGAAACTCATTATTGGTGATAGACTCCGAATTTGTGTTACTTAAGAGACTAACAATACATCATCAAGGTAAAAATAATAGAACTACTAGATGATTTTCAAGTTCACAGAAAATTGCTTTATAATGTGTTTAAGCTTCTATTCTTTAATAGGATCCAAGGACTTCATACCCATTGCCTGCAGCAAATTGTGCATGGCTTACTTCTTTGCAAATTCTTTGTTCTGAGAAGTAGAAGCAGATGTGTGGGCCTTGGGCGTAGGGTCATAGTTAGGAGAGGTGGGAGAACACAAGCCCAAACCTCTGTTCTTGCGGCACTTAAAGATTTCAAGACTCCAGACAGAGCAAATGCATTTTTCA